AAGATGATATCTAAATCATAAGTCCAGTACATGGGAATCAATGAAGGACGGATTGACGATTGCGATCAGGGTTTATTGTTGTATGCATGCATCCAAAATATCAACTCAATATCATAATGAATAGTAGTACTTTATCGGAGGCAGATACATTGAAAAAGCAAATCTTTTATAGTCATTAAGTATTCATCGAACACCATCAGCAAGTGTTGTTGATAATAATATCAATGATTGGACATTTCATTTTGATGGTGTATGTAATAATGTTAGTCAAGAAGTTATTTTTGATTCTATTGCAAAAGACGTTGTAGATCGTTCATTGGATGGTTATAATGGTTTGTTCTATTATTTATATATTATTTTCTTTTTTTTTGTGAATGAAATTTCTTTTTTTGTTTTGTTTTAGGAACAATACTGTGTTATGGTCAGACGGGTGCTGGAAAAACTCATACAATGACTGGTTTTACTGAAAGTTATCAAAACCGTGGTATTATACCTCGTACTTTACAACATCTCTATCAAGAAATAAATGCTCGACAAGATTTTTCTCATTCTGTTCGGTATTTAAAATAAAAATTATTAAAAATAAAAATTTCAATATGTTTTTATGTTCTTTTAAGTATTGCTTATCTTGAAATTTATAATGATCAAATGTGTGATTTACTTCGTACATTAAATTCTCAATCGGATTATCAACAACAAATACAACAACTATCAATTGGTGAAGATTCGGGTTTAGTCTATGTTAAAGGATTATCATATCGTATTGCAAATAGTGAAGAAGAAGCATTAAATTTATTATTTGAAGGAGAAACAAATCGTGCTATTGGTCAACATGTACTTAATAAACAATCATCTCGTTCACATTGTATATTTACAATTCTTATTGAATGTCGATCAATGTTATCATCGGAGGACAAATATACAATATCAAAATTAAATCTTGTTGACTTAGCTGGTAGTGAACGGTTGGCTAAAACAAATGTAAATTAATGTTTCTTTTTTTGCTTTTAATTTATTATTATTTTTTTTTTAATTTTTATTTATTATTTTAAATTTAGTCGGAAGGTGTAACAAAACGAGAAGCAACATTTATTAATAAATCATTATCATTTCTTGAACAAGCTGTACTTAATTTATCGGATAAAAAAAGCAATTCTCATAATTTTCGTAGTTCAAAATTAACTCATGCATTAAAAGATAGTATTGGTGGACGATGTAATACAGTAATGATCGCAAATATTTGGCCAGAATTGCAACACCTTGAAGAAACAGTATATAAAGATAATTATAATAAAATGCTTTAATGATGTTTTCTTTTCTGGAATAGGTTTCAACACTTCGTTTTGCAAGTCGAATGATGTGTGTTCCAGCTGAACCAACTGTAAATGAAGTTATTGATCCATTAAAAGCTCTTGAAAATTATAAACGTGAAAATAAACATTTACGAGAAGAACTGGCGTTACATGATGCATTAATTAATCGAAATGGTGTATCATATGAGCCAATATCTGAACAACAATTATATGAAATTGAAAATCAATGTCGTCGATTTATTGAAGGAACATTAGATGAAATTGAAGTAAAAAATCTTCGTCAAGTACAAGGTTTGTTATTGTTTTGTTTTTATTTATATAAATAATAAAAAGTTTACGTTGTTTCTTTCTTTCTCTATAGCTATTTTTAATGCATTCAGAAATATTTGTCGGTAAGTTAAACGAATCAATAGATTGAGAATTATATATTGATGAATATTTAGAGTAACAGAAAAAGATGTTGAAAAAAAATATCATGATCGACATGTTCTTGGAGATAAATATGAATATGAACAACAAGATAACCAAAAGGTAAATTTTGTTTTCTTATTGATAATAAATAAGCAGCTATTTACTTCTACTAATATTTGGAACAGGATCAGGATGAATTCTTATATAACTAATATATAGTCAGAGTATCTAACATAGTTAAGAAGTTTAATTGATTGATAAAGAAAAACTTTATTCATTATTTAGATGTTTGGCGTTAATCAAGGTATGAATAGTATGGGAGGTACTGCTGGAGATCTTGATGGTCAAAATTTTGCTTTGGGTGCTGCTTCAAAAGATCAACGAGTTAATAAAGATGCTTTACTTAAAATGACACGAAATAAACGACAAACAGCTGCTGGTGCTACAACAACTAAAACACCAGGAGTACAACAAACAAAGTAAATTTCATTTTATATTAAATAAATCATTTTTTCATTCGAGTTTTTATTGAATATGAAACTAGTGCTAAAGACAAATCTTCACCTCCTGGATCGAAACCAACTGGTACGAGTTTTCAACGAGGTATTACTGATGATGAACAATTTTCACGTGTTAAAGAACCAAGTGAAATGCTTGATACAAAAGATCAACGACCCAGGTAAATGAGAATATTAGAAATGAATCATAATCAGTCTTTTTTTTTCTTCTTAAAAATCTACATAGTACTCCACCGGGTCGTGCAGCTGCATTTGAAGAATTTAAACAAACACGAGGTGCAAATTTAAATAAGATTTATTTAGAAAATAAAGAAATAATGACAACAAAAAAGAAACAATTTGCTGAATTAGCACGACGTGTTAATCAAACTAAAGCTGAAATTGATAAAACACGTATTGACGCTGAACGTAAAAAGAATGAACGATTAACAATGGGTAAACAACATTTGTCTGTTTATTTGTTTTTTTCTTTTTATTTATTCAATTGTTTTTTTTCTTATAAAAGGTGAATTTTTGAATGAAAATGGTGAAACAATAATTGATGAAGAAGAATATGAATTTATTGCAAAATTACAAGAACTTAAAGGTGTTTATCGTGCTGATTATGATCAATGGAAAAATCTTAAATCAGAAATAACCTATTGTCAAAATTTGGTTAATCAATGTCAAAATCGACTTCTTCAAGGTAAAAGAAAAAGAAAGAGAAATTATTTAAATTCTTTTCGAAACAATTATCTTTTTTTTATATTTAGAATTTGATATATGGTATAATGAATGTTATTTAAATAAAAATAATCCCGGTGCTATGGATGATTTATTAACATCAAATAAAAATAATAATGATTATCATGTTTATGATGATGCAGCTGAAAGATTTGAACGTATGCAAAAAGAATTATTACTTTCAGATCTTGATAGTATGCCATTTCGGCAAGCTCAAATGCGAACAAATAGACGTGTAAGTTAAAAAAATAAATTCATTTTTTTGGAATTATTTCTTTCTTTTTCTTTTTCTAGCATATTTTCGATGCAGCAACAACACAAGGACCATGGAAACAAGCTCCAGCAACAACAGCTATTAACAATAGCGGTTCTTTTCATGGAAGAACATATGATCAAGAACACCAATCTTCTCCATCGATATCTACAAATGGTAGTCGACAAAAACCAATGGTCCGATAAAAAAAAAACGATTAAATTCTCTATTTTTTTTCAATGTGCGTGTGTAACAAAGTGATTCTAACTGAATAAATGTCCTCGTCTCCTTTTATTTAATTCAAATTGTGTTATATATCCAAATAAAGTACTACTCAAAACTATAAGAATAAGGTCATTTTGACAATTTTTTTCTTTGATGCCAAGTACCTAACTAAAATTCAATAGATGATATGATTAGTGAATGAAGTTTTCGACCAGATGTATCATATATCAAGATTTCATAGTTGGACTATGTTGAAAACGCACTATCACAACGCTTTCTGAAAGCTTCCTCATATAATCTAACTATAAAATCTTGATATACTATGTGTCTGATAGAGAACTTCATAATCTATCCATATCACTTTTTGGACTATAGTTAGATTACAAAGTTTTTCATATAGAACAATAGAGAAAAAGCTCTACGATGCATCCCGTAGGTTTTTCTACTTTCTACGGAACAAGATACTTTCCTCTAAGATGACAGAAACTTCCCTTTTTTTTTGGATCTAGGATTTTCCTAAACCTTAAGAGAGTAAAAATAGTTTTTCTAAATCAAAAAGTCTACCGTTAATCAAAGTATATTGGACATTATGCAAATCGCTTTCATTTTTTCGTCAGATATTCACCTGAACCAATGTTAAAGAAAATAAGTAAAATAAACACATCAATTTTATTCCTATCTTAAAAATTCCAGACTGTTTTGATGATCTACTTCCTTTCGTCCAGTGATTTCTGTTTACAGGATTCTAAATAAAACGTTTTTTTATTGCTCTCAAACTAAAAAATAAAAAACCAAAGTTTGTTTTTGTTTTCTCCTATTTCATTTTTCCATAATAAATCAATCAAAAATGATTCGCTACTTATTGACTTTTATTTTTTTTTGTTGATGACAAAGTGGAAGGCAGCAACAAGCAAAAAATATATATATGTATACTTCAAGAAAAAAAGACACATTCATCAATCCGCCATTTGTAAAAGAGAGAGAGAGAGAGAGACAGAGCGAGAAAAAGAACAATGTAAAAACAAAATAATCAACATTCTCACACACCATTTGTGTACAGAGAGCACGAGAATCCGCACAAAAGGTTCGTTGCGAGTAAAAGTAGAAAGAAAGAAGATGCGCAGAGCTGCCAGCCAAAAAAAAAAGAAAAAACTATACACAAAAGAAGAAGAACAAGCAAACGCGCAAAAAATACACAAAAAAATTCTTCAAATATATTTTGGTTGTATATTATTTTTCCCAGTTGATAAAAAGCAGAAGATTTAGCACAGAATCTAATTGATTTTTTGATCTGGATGGTATCGCGGCGGACATCATTAATGAGAAAAGAAAAAAAAATGTTTTTTTTTGTTAAAAAGCATATTAAAAACAGGCCAACATAGCGTATTTGTATATATATAAGTGTATATATATGTAATCAAATTAATGTCTAATCAATGTGCATAGAATTTCAAAAAAACAAAAAGAAAAAACAAAATCAGACAATAAATCATGGCGAAAAAAAAAGAGAGCACCAAATAATAAGAAAGAAATCATCATTCATTCAAAAAAAACCATTCACGCATCGCTGGCATTGCGTAATGTAGTTTTGTCATTATCATTATTCATTGAAGAATCATTAGATTTGACATTGTCATAAACTTCTTCATACGTGTCTAAAAAATAAAATGGAAACAGTTTTTATTAAAGTCAACACATCGAGTAACTCCCAAGATTATTCTACGAGGCTTATTTTCAATTTTTTATCATTGTTGTAAATGTTAATAAACATCTGCTTAACGATTTCTGATGAGAATTCTATTTTCAATAAGAATGTTCGAAGATGAAAATGGTTGCTAGTTTTTCAAGGATAGAATCTCTGTAGAACCGAAACTCAAGCTTTTCATCTCCTGGAATTCTCTTTAAAGGAAACGTCTTTCAGCTCGGCTACGACATTTTTGATCGAGATACATCACCTTTACGGAACGCATAAAATTTTTTTTTTTTTTTATGCGAAATAGTACAAAAAGTGACTCGTGCTTTCCGTAAAATTAATATATCTCAATCAAAATGTTAGGTTTCGTGAGTTTAGAATTCATAAAGCTTATACATCTAATTTTAAAAAATCCATAAATTTTACCTAAATTAACTGTTTGAGGTTCTGTTGAATTATTATTTGAATTATCTAAATTAGTTTGAACATTATTTGTTGGTAGTAAACAATCACTCGATTGTTCTCGAGCATTCTCAACAGAAATAATAATACTATCAGTTGAATCAAAATGCTCAATTTCATCTTCATCATCACTATCAGCCATGGCAGCACTATTATTTTCATCTTCTTCTGTTTGACTTGTATTACCATCATCAAATACTCCTTCATCATAACGTTCAATAACTTCTGTTGCCATATGTAATTGTTGTGATTTAGGTTTTGATGTTGGTGATTTAATAGTTTCATCTAAATCAGTTATAGATGATAATTGTTCACTAGGTAACGGTGATCGTGGATCAAAATGTATTAATTCATTAAATGTTTGTGTTTGTGTTGGTATTGCAACTGAACCAAGTGATTCAGATGAATGAAGAGATGACATTGATAATGAATCTTTTAAATCCGAATATGTTTGAGATGTTCCACTAAGTATTGATGGTGGTACATTAAATATACTACTTGAATTACTATTTCGTCTTATAATTGGATTTTCAGTATCTGATATGTTTACACGATATTCACGTAATAAAGGTCTATCTTGTTTTTGTTGATTTGTTAATTTCTAAAAATCAAAAGAAGATATTTCGTTTTATTTTGTAACTAATTGTATTACCAAAGCTAGAGTAAGTTGTTCGCCAAGTTGAGTTAATGGTGTCCACAATGATTGAACTTCAATTAATGATATTTTCTTGTCTTCTGCTGCTCGATTTTGTCTTTGACTTATTGATTGTAGTAATTGATTATCTATATAAATAATAAAAAAAAATCAATATTATTTTTGCAGAGAAAAGAAAACAAAGTTATTGATATTTACGGTAACTAGCAGCATTTGTTATTGCTTCTAATGATGAATTTGGTTTTGATTTTTGTGTTAATGCAATCTTTAGTTAAAACAAAAAGAATCTATATTAGCAACATGATGGAATACGAAAAAATTCTCTTATAACCGAATAAGAAGTTCAAAGCTAATCCGAAAGAGTACAAAGAAAAAGTCAATATTTTTAGATAAATCTCTGCAAAAAGAATTTATCCAGAAAAAAGATCTCTTGTAAAGAATGATAGATAGATATGTCCAGTATTTAGGTTAATTCTTACATTTCCTGGTATATCATTAATTTTATCTTCAGGAATGTTGAGAAGACGTGAAAGAAGCATTTCTTTTTCATGTAATAAACGTTTTAAGTCTTTGTCCTTCTCAAGAATTGCATTTAATAATGATTCTGGTGTATCTTCAATTAATGTTTGTTTTTCAATTATTTTAACTTGATTTGGTTCAACTAATTGAATATTTGCTTGCTCTTCGATAATTGCTGATCTATAATATAGGAAAAAAAATTGTTTAGATTTTAGAAAATCTTTTTATTTTTTCGTTTACCGAGTTGCTGATGATTTTGATGATGATAATGATAATGAAGCTGTTGATTGAGAAGAAATTGGTGGATTTAAACTCTTATCACTTGATGACGATACAAATGATTTGGATTTTTCAAATGGTTTTCGAGCTTTTTCAATCCATTCTAACCATCTACACATAAAAGTAAAAGATATGAAGAATGAAAACATATGAAAAGAAAAATTTGTTTATGTACTTTTCGAGATCATCTTTTGAATTAGCTTCAACTTCAATCAATTGTTTTTTATCAGTATCAATAACATAAAAAGAGCGAGCACCTAAAAACAGATTTCAATAATCAAAAATTCTAACAATAAAGATATGGTGAAATAAGTTTAGTTAGTTTCAACTGTGAAACTTTCAGAAATAATATAAAATTCAATCTTATGTTAAATAGTATGACAAAGTAATGTTAAGAATATAAAAAATTTTACCTCCACATGCTTTTTTCTTAATTAATAAATATTCAAGTCGAATTATAGGTGTTAAAATAAAATTTTGTGCTGCAGTATATCGTGTTCCAGATACAGCTGCTCGTGGTCGTGTATGACGTCCAGTATTAGCATCCCGTTGATGTTCTTTTAAAATATAACGATATTGTTCATCAATACCACGTTGTTCCGATGGTTGTATAGGTATTTTTTGAAAAAAAACAAATATATCCGTAAAAAGACAACATTCAAATTCGGTTTTTTGTGTTGTTGTATCAGGTAATAATTTTAATGTACCTGAGTAAATTAAACGATTATTTGTTATTTCAAGACAATCCTTTAAATAAAATAAATCAAAATTTTAAAAAAACAAAAATTTATTATTATTTTTTACTTGAAGATTTTGTAAATTCATAGATTTATCATCATTTGGTATTTGTATTTCAAGATTTCCTTTAATTTGTTTTAATAAAGCTTCTTGTTCTTTTTTTAAACGTGCATAATTCATACGTTTTAATATATTATCAGCACACTCAACACATTTACTTAATTTTTCACTTTCGATTTCATCGTCCGATACAAATTTTTTCATTGCTTCGAATAACATTTTTAATTTTGTAAAACGTGTCATAACTGATGGTAAATAATCTTTTAGTGTTAAACGACGACATAAAGGATTTGATTCACATCCCTTGAAAACAAAATTAATTCATTGTTACGACAAAAAAAGTTTTATGTAGAAATACATCGAACCGTGCATATTTGATCTTCAGTGTAGTAATTTTCAATTGATTAATAAGAAAGCGGAGTAGTGATACTACTCAAGGAGAAAAGATTTTCTGAGAACGCCTTTCTACACTGTAGTCGCAATTTCCATTTGAACGCTTTTATATAAATGTTTTTTTTTTCTACAATATTTTGACATGTTTTTCAGATAAAAATGATTTTTTCATGAGTGATGTACGTCAAAAAAGTTGTAAGAAAACTTTTTGGACGTTTTTTAGATTTAAAAGTTAGTATTTAACAGACATTTTCTGATGAAAGAATCTTATTTTGGGTTTTTTTTGATTAAACATAAAAATGTCCAAAAAACCGTGATAAGGATGTTTAAACACGTTTTCAAAAATTTTTGTCTACTTGACTAATGTTTCTATCACAACTTGTGACATATCGAAGGTTACGCCTGTCACAATCTGTAATGGTTTTTGACTAGCGTCTGTTACGATCTGTGAGGGTGTTGGACTAGCATTTGTCACGACTTGTGACGTTCTCAGGGTTATGTCTGCTACAGTTTGTGATGGCCTTCAACTAGCGGCTGTCACGTTTGTAAGGTTACAGCTGCCACAATTTGTGATGTTCTTTGACTAGCATCTATTATGATCTGTGGGGAGGAGCAAATTTTGACTCCTACGTCCCTAGTACGTGTTTTAGGTCGTGTTTCACAAAATATAACAATGTTAAAAACTTGAACATTGAGTTTGATGAATGATTGATTTGAAGTTTAAACTTACTCGCATAAGTGATGCAAAATCTGCTGATTGTTCTTTCTTTTTAATTAGTTTTAATGCTTGTGATTGATCTTCAATAAAATAAGCACATGCACGAGCAAATTGTTCACCTTTATCATTATCAAGCTAAAGAGAAAGTTTTCTATTCGTTTGTTTTCTTGTTTCATAAAAATATTCTTACAAATTTAAGAATTAAATCACCAATCTGACGAACAACATGATCTTTTGCTTCTTCACGATGTTGACGTAATGCATATTTAAATTGAGCTGAAAAGAAAAACAAAACAATAATTAAAAATTATTTATGCTTCTTTTTTTTTGTATAGTAGAATCTTTATCTTACTATGTAAATCAATAAGTTGATCAAGATTTCGAAATATACAATCAATTTCAACAGGACTCATTCCAGGAAAACGTTCCATTGGTTCTCGAAAACATTTTTTCATTATTTTTAAACCTTTTAAATGTGTACGTTCAGTATGTATTAATTCATTTATTGTTGTTTGTAATTTCCATTCACGTGATTGATAAAGTGCTTGAAGAACATCAGTTGGAATAAAATCACTTAAATTTGGTAATGTATTCACATCAGCTTCAAGATCACTATCACCATATGTTGTTGTTGTTTGTTGATTAACTGTTTCAGAACTTGTTATATCGGTTGAACTTGTTCTAAATTATTTCAAAAAACAATGAATATTAAAATTAGAATCATGATTGAAATGATCTCCAATAGTGATATAGAAGTTAAGTAAATGAGTCATGCTTTAAATAAGAAGCACTGAATTTTGAATTATGACTTCAAACTTTGCATAGAGACAGATCTTATTACGGGTTGCCACCATGATTGAATGGCTACGTTGTGACACACACCTGTTCAGCTAACTAGCTGGCGGTTTCCAAACTATTTTTAGAATATTTATAGCTCACTAGGATCAACATAATGCACATAATCTCGACTTAGAAGTGATTGAAAATTTGAGCTGAGTTTTAATTAGTTCTGATGAACCTTTATTCTAATAGACAAACAATTTTGTTTTTGGAGTCAAAAAAAAATATTTACATAAATTATTCAAAAAGTTACAGATAATCAATAAAAAAGCAAATGATTTATTGTTTACAATTAATTTCTTGTCTCGTATTTTTGATGAAATTTGATAATTCTCTTGTCAAGATTCAATGAAAGATTAAGAATGATATAGAAAACTGTCATTAATGCCCCCTCAGAAAAAGTCAATTTTCATCGGAATTATCGAAATTAAGATAAATGTAGGAGATGATAGTACGAGGTCAAATGTTTCATAAATGACATAAATTTTTGTATTCGACACCTCATTTTTAGCAAAAATGTTTGATGATTTCTGTCATCACCTACTCAAAAAGTATCCTATTTTCAGAAAAAGCAGAGTCCATTTTTTTAATATTCTCTTGAAGATGCTTCATTGTACCATTAAGTTGGATTATTTTTATAATTACAGTGAGAGCTTTTCGAAATATTGAATTTTTCATCCGATAAAAAGTAAGAATAAGAAAAAAGGCCTTTATCATGCCCTGCATCCTAGCATGTCCTTTTAACTATTATTCAAATTCTTCGAGCTAAATCTTTGCGCATTTATAAGATCATTATGAATTGTATGAACTTACTTTTGATTGATCAGATCTTGTTGTTGAATAATTATGTCACTATCACCACGGCTAAGGAATTCATCAATTGAATTTCCACCCATTTGTGGATTACTAAATAAAAAATCAAAAGAATATTTAATAATAAAATGTTAATTAAATACGAAAAAAAAAACATAAGCAGGTTGTTTTAAAGTATCTGCTGGCAAAAGAATAAAAGCGCATGCTGATTGATCAGCAAGATGAGAATGAAATCAAATTCTGTCAGTTAAATCTTTATTATTAGAATAATAAAAATTAATAACTCATGCGTTTAGACAGAGCGAATCAGAAAAAAATATGTATAGTGAATTTATTTTTTAATATAATTATTATTCTCTTTCTCTTTTATCTTGATAACGAGTATCATGCAATCATTAAAAATGTGATGAGAATAGGAAATCGGGGGTGACAGAAAAAAGTAAAAGAGCATTATTTCAATACCCCTCATCACTATCGTCGCTTTCACTGAAATCAATCATATATTTGATACGTGTTAATCAAAATCAGACTATATTTTAATATACCTGCTTGAACGATGTTTAGATGTCGGTCGATTAGGTGCTACTTGTCGATCACTAAAACGTCGTCCCAAACTATTTTAAATAAATAAATATGAAATTAATATATTTATGAAAAACAAAGCTTTGTTTTTACTTTGAATTTTTATTTTGTTCTTGTATGGATAATAAATTTGGATTTATCACATCTAGAAAAAAAAAATTCATTTCTAAATCAGTAAAACGCAAAAAAAAAATTCTTCTTACCACTTCCTTCATTTGCAGCTGACAAATTATCATTATTATCATTTGCTAGAAGAAAACAAAAAACAACAAATTTCATTCTATAAGAATTCAATTTTATTATCTTCTATCAAACTTACGAATACTTCCTTCTCGTCCTTCATTTAAACTTGCAGTTCTTGTTGGACCTAAACAAATTAATATATGATATTAAAATTGAACTCTTCATCAATAAATCTTAATCCAGTGATAAAGACAAACAAAACCTCACACATAAAATTAAAGAATTTGTGTATTATACAACATAAACACTAGAACAATATGATTTGTACAATATAATACCGTTATATGTCATCATAATTCCGTTAAATAATGTACTACTTCCACCAACAGAACGTCGTATAAATGTTCGTTGTGGTGAAATAACTTGTTGTTGTATATGTTGTTGCATACATGAAAAAGGCATACCACCAAATAAAGGTTGTATGAGATTGTCAGCTGAAAATGATTCTGAGAGCGAACGTGATGGGGATTCTGAAAGAGTTTGATGTTTGTTTATTTTGCTTTTAATATTATTAAAGAATTAATTATAAAGAAGAAAAAAACCTATAAAAAAATAAAAAACATGAATGTCTTACTTGAATTATTTTTCGGTGTTTTTCGTGGTTTTATTTGAACAGGATTTGTAATACTATTTGTTTTTCGATCTTTTAAACATTTTTCACTTATTACTGCACATTCTCGATGAAATGATTGCTGACAATCTATTTAATAGAATAAAAATGAAAATCTTTTGTTTTTGAAGATTTTTGTTTTTTTTTGTTGTTGTTGACTTACATCCACATAAATATCCTTGATAATTAATTCCCCATAATGGTTTTGAACAAACTTTACATAAAGTTTGATTTGTAAATTGATGTTCATTTAATTGATGATCCTTAATCTAAAGAAGAAGAAAACAAAACAAACAGATTATTTTATATTTACAAAAGAAAACTTACTCGTTTAGCTTGTGTTGATCGTGGTAATTTTGATAATAGACGTCTTTGTTCTCGATCGAGAAATTTCGGAATTTTTTCCAATGGAATGTTTCCACATTTTTTAATATCACAACGTTTTAAAAATGTAGCCAATGAACATATTAATGCAAGACTTAAGAAAATAAAAGAAATTTATTTATTTAAAAGAAATTTATTTCAATATACTCTTTTGAATTTCTTATACTGTTCCAATCATCAATATTTGCTTTATAATATGATTCAAATTTCGATCGAAGTAATTCTTCAATAAAATGATTTTGTTTTGAAATTAATGGAAAATCAATATCACGAAAAACACCTGAAATTAAATATACAATCAAATCAATAGAAACCTTTTAGCTTGTTCTTTTCATGAGTTAAATGACCTTGTCAGAAACACTCGATTTCGTCCTATTGACTTTGAATCATCAAGAGACCACCTGAATTTTAGCCCCGGAGGACTTATTTGTTGATAATATATAGGACATTTTAACTGTACTAAAAGAGAGCCACAGTTCTAAAGAGTAGATCTTCACTGTCAGCTGATACGTTGCTCTAAGTGTTGTTCTTGCTTTCACTTTCAACTAGGTACTTATCCTTGGGTTAATCACTTCCATCTGATAATAAAATATATTAGCAGAGTTTTATAGAAGAATCTTGAAAGCTTTTGGGATCATCGCAAAAAGGTCAAGCCTAGAATAATTCACTAGGCTAAGTGCAATGGTGATGTTTATTTTTGGTTTTAAAGCGATCTAAATTACGTGAAGCGTCAAGATTTCGAAATCCTCGATGTATTAATTTTAGATTGCTTTGAAATTGAAAATAAATATCACCACTACATTTCGTATGAGACATTACCGCACTCTTGACCTTTTCGGGACTAATCCAAGGTCAATAGGTCGATATCTGAAGTGTCTGGTACGGAGCGCACTAGAATACTCAACTTGGTACAGATCGAAAGAAAACCATTCTATCTATCAAAAAGGGATATCACTGATACAAATTCAATGGAAATCCTTTTTAACACGAAAGTCCCACTTAAGCACAGGTTTCTGCACATTCTTTACCCATCCGAAAATATAACGATATTGACTTCACTACACTATCTCTACATTTCTCTTTTGAATGCTGAAAAACATTTTAGTGTATTCGAAATTTTTATTTCACATTATAAGAAAATATAATTACCGAGCGTTCGTTTATGATTAAAATCAGATAATTGTCGATCGCTTATAATTGATCGTGCAAATTCTTTTGCATCATTGAATATAAACTTCATATCATCATTTGTTTCTTGTTGTTGAGCTTCTAAACATCGATTTATTGAATCTGTTTGTGATTGAGGAAGGCCAATATACAAGGGCTAAAAAAAGAGTAAACATTAAAATTAAATTCAAAAAATTTATTTTATTTTAGAAAACTTACGCTGCCATTCATAGTGAATGTGGAATGAATTTCAAATATCCATCGTATTAATTCGCTTCGATTTTCTGCTTTTTTTGTACGTAATTCTTCAGTTAATATATAGAATAACTAAATAAAAAGCAAAAAAAATTATAAAAAAAAGCTTCGCTTTTTTTTTAATGAAATATTTACCAAATAACTAGGATCACTGTTTGGGTCAGTAAGAAGAAAATTAAGAAAAACACTTAATGGTGCCCAATTAGATGTATTTATAAATTGTTGAATATCGTCAAACGATGATATCGATGTTTTTGGTTGTATCTAAATAAAAACATAAGATCTGACTTTTTAAAAGAAGATAGATAAATTTACTTCAGTCACATCATCATCATTATCGATCGTATCCTGAGAAAAGAAAAAGAAAATAAAATAAAATAATTAAAATAGCAATGTTCATATACTCGATGTGTATGTCTATCATCTGTTGAAAACATTGTATGTGATGAATCTCCATACTAAATAGAGAAAAAATATTCAATTAATTTATTATTATTATTAAAATATTATTCAGTATTTGTTTAAAAGCAAAGCAAAAAAGAAACATAATAAAGCAATGAGCTAAGACAACAATAAATAGCTTACTTCATTATTGATATACCACTATAGAACAAGAGATTAAAAGCTTAAAAACATTCCTTTAATTATTTTCAACTAGCAATAGCAGATAAATGAACGTGGGTATGAACACATAAGCATAGATTCAAAATAAAAACATACAAAATTCTTTTTGCTTTCTTTTTCTAAAGCAATCAATTAGTTTATTTTATTTTGTATATTTTTAACTTTATTAGTTGTGATGTCTTATATAAGCCTATATGTATCCGAATTACCTTTATTAAATCATAAGTCTCAGATCTACCAGAATATAATTTACGTTTTAACTGCTGTATTGGTGAACCGACTGTAGTCAATGGTGCTGTCGGAACAGCTACAGTCATCATTTGAAAAGTTGTTGATTCAGATAATGGATTCTGTTTCTTGTAATCACTAATGCCATCTGATAACTGTAGAAATATATGTGGGGAATAGGAAAGAATTAACCCTTAGGAAGTGTTAGTAAAAGAGAAACAAACACAAGAAGAAAGCAAAGAGTTAGTTTTTTTTTTTTTTTATCAACTTACAGTTGATGTTCGACTGGATGATGATTCAATATATGTACTCGGTTGATTACCAAGATTTTCAGCATTAAAACTTGATTTAACAGGTGAAGCATCAATTGATGACTAGATTAAAAAGAAAAGTAATTAATTGAATTTTTGTTAAGAGAAACAAATAGGAGTGTGTAGTTTTAGTTTACCGATCATTGAATTGACGGGGAAGGAGAGACCTCTTGAGATATCTCCTTTCAATTTCAATGACTCTTTTTGCCTATAGATACTATATAATGATCTAATAAAATCTCTAAAAACGATTTGAGTTTCTATTGAGACTTTGCGCATATAGAGAAGTTAACTAGACTAATTAGTTTCTATTGAAAAAAAATGTCTCAAGTTTTGAACAATGTCTTGTATCTCGAAGAAACTTATGAATTTTCTATAGAAGTTAGTCTAGTTGAGTTCTCTATATGCGTAGAGTTTTAAAATAAAACTCGATAGCTCAATCAAATTATTTTTGGGTTTTTATCATATCACTATGTAGTACCTATAGACAAAACATCAATGAAATCGAAAGGAAACATTTATGGAACTTCCATGGTCTGTGTAGTTAGTACACATTGACATAAGGGCATACCGACACACAAGCACATATCACTATAAAAGGGCACAGTTTGATGAAGTAAATTTCTGAATATTGCCGGGAACGAAGATATTAGTGCTTCAGCGAATATTGATGTCGATATAATCAGTGCCTGGTGAAGGACCTTATATTTGTGACTCATTATTCAGTATCTACTCAAATACTGCACACCCCTGGAAAAGAAATAAAATATTTTCTCTTTGCTTTGTATTACTTCCACATGATCTAGACGTCGTTTAATTTCATTTAATTGTTGTTCATATTGTCTAATTTGATTTTCAATAAATGCTACTTTTGTTGGATTATGATTTGGACCTTTAGCTCGTTGTCGATCCAGATCTGCCTTTGATTTCTTAAATAAACAAAAAAAAAGAAAAAAAATGGTGTTTTTTTTGTTCGAGAAATTCAAGGCAAAAAAATCACTCATACTTCAAGTTGTTTCGTAATTCGTTCACAATTTTCTTTGAGTTTTTTTGTATCAACTGTTGTTGATATTGAATGTGTACTTGTTGTACTATTTGAACGTTCAGGCACGGAAATCGTCTGAGTATTTGTTCGAACTGATACACGACCATTTTGATTATCAGCTGGAATTATTTTTTGTGCTAATGTTGAATTTATTTTTGGTTGGCCAAGAAGAGTTAATTGAGCATAAGAACCCGCTAAAGAAAAAAAAATCTTTTTTTTTTGGTTTCTCTTTTTGATTAAAATTCCTTCAATGATGTATCTATAACAGTGGCATCGAGTACATCAATGTGTAGGAAATATTCTGTCATCTTTTTTTTTCTATTCTACTACAAATAACTCGTCTGATTGTCATTAGTCTCGTCATTTGCTTATACATTATACAACGCACGACAAGTTAGAATAATAATAATAATAATAATAATAATAATAATAATAATCATAATCATAATAATAATAATAATCATATACAACGACAGAATATCGTTGATGGATTGAAAGAATATGATGTAGACAAGGACGAAGACATTTTGTGTTTATAGCAATTAAAAAAAAGCAAAAATTTTATGTTTATGTTCTTTAAAGAAAGAATTTCTCTTTTTTACATTTGATATGATATGAATGACAAAGATTGATGAGTATGTAATGTAAGAAAGGAAAAGAAAAGAAAAGAAAAGAGAGCAGTCATTTCTTTTTCAAGACATTCAGCAAGCGTTATCCATCAAACATACAAACGATGATATGATCCGTTAGGATAACAACGGAATGCCAAAAGCCATCCTTTGAATGTCACAATCACGTGCATATTCAATGAAAAGAATCCATGGAAAAATATAAAGTCAAAACTGAAAAAAAATAGCGTCGTTATTAAGATATGATTAGAAATATGTGTAATATGAGAATAGATAGGTTTTCTTTTTCTTTCGAAAATATCAACAAACAGCAGTAGAAAAAAAGATATTATCAAAAAGAAAAAATATTGATTTTTTTCTTTTTTTTTTGTGAATTAATTTTCTATTAACATAATTAATTATCAATTTTCCTATGCCTATCAGTAGTAGACAAATAGATTCATCTAGATAACCTTGTTCAAGTAAATAATGTCTGTGTCATTTCTCTTTATCATCTTTTTGCTTCACGGTCAAACAATAATCTTATATCTTGTTTTTGCCTATAACACAAATATTCTATTCATCGATTTCTTTTCATCTCAAAATGTCATTTTCTCGCCTTTGTACATATATCTGTCTGTCTATCACACACGCATATATGTATATAGAACATATCATCACTATCATCATAAATTGTTCATAACTATGATCGAACCGAAATATGATCACATTCTTAACTAATTGTGTATGTAAAAATAAACGAAAAAGAAAGGAAAGAGATGATTTGCGCACAACGATAACTAATACCCATTGATGATGATGATGATGCAAGATTATTTACCTGCATTGACACGATGATGATCATCATAAGTTTCCGATTTCGGTCGTGGTTTAACTGAACGTCGTTGATGACGTGTATTAGATGAGTTTTGTAGTAAACGTAAATCAGTTTCATTTATATTATGAGTATTAACTATTTGAGAACTTAACGATGTTAATGAACGATTTCGATGACGATTACTTGTATTCGATGTCAAATCTGATAGACGAGCAAGAAATGAATCGTGTAATTGTGATACACGTCCTGTTATATTTGATATTTGTCTTTCAATAACATTACGTGGTGCTGTTCGAAATGAACGACGTGAACGTATTGATTGAGACGTATTATTATTATTAGTAGTACTAGTAGTAGTATTATTCGTTTGTATTTTTAATATTTCATTTGGTGAATAATTAGGCGTTCGAAATGAATATGGTCGAGGTTTTATTGCAACAATTGGTATTGTTGGTCGATCATGTGATGTAAACGAAGTTGATGATTGTATACGTACTGATGGTGGTATTGGTGGTGTTAGACTTGTATTTACATGAGATGGTGATGAAGTTGGAGTTGATGTTGGAATTGAATTAATAGTTGAACGTGTTGATGATAATGCTTTTATTTGTGCTTGTTTCGATGTATGAGTTACAACGGGTGTCAATGGAGCTTCTAATACATAACTTTTAGTTATATGTGGACGCGAAATACTATTATTATTATTATTATTATTGTTTGTTAATGATGGCGAAACGATTATTCTTGGTGGTGATGATGTTCGACGACTTGACGCATGTCGAACCAATGAATAAATAACTGCTATATCAGACATTTGTTCATCATCGAGATTATTATTTTTATTATTATTATTATTGTTACCATTTGTATTATCAATCCATTTTGTAATAGGTACATAACTATGTTCTTCTTCATTTTGTTGTTCTTGTTCATTATGATCAATGATTAATGGTATTGGACTTGCTGTTACAGTTGTTTTAGTTAATTGACGATGTGATGCCATCGTTGGAATACATGATGTTGCAGCTTTTGAATTAAAATTACTTTCATCATTTGTCATTGAAGCTGGATAAACATCGATAGTTCGATCAACACGAACTGTACCTAATTTACCAGCTGGTATTCTCACCGATATGGCGGTGGCCATGTTATTTTCTATTAACAGATTATCACCTCATATATAGTTTGTTTAAAATCTAAAATGTTTTATCTATGTGCGACTTAATGATTATTCATCATGAATGTCACACAACGAAGTAAAATGAACAACAAAAAAAACTCAAATGATTTCTTTTCAATCAATTGCCTCTTTATATATATATAACGACGAAAGAAATGAGCACGACATTGTACTTTAATAAATATGAGACGAGTGTGAGTACAAGAATAAGAAAAGAAAAAAGAACTATATGTGTAACGTAGAGAACGAAAGAATGAAAAGAAAAAAAAATAAAGGGAAAAAAATGATGTTCAACATTATGCCATGATTATGCTCGAAGGTAACTAGTAGCCGTTACCACCTACTAGTCTTTCTATATATTATATTTTGAGAATGATGGCTTGTTAATCTTCAATGTACAAAAACAGTGCCTGAGTATATAGCCCCCACACGATTTGTACTACATACAGCGCGTAACAAAAGAAATCGTCCGTAATGACGATATGACGACGATGTGTTTACACGAGAAGAAGATGTAGAGAAGAAAATCCAGGAGAGAAGAAGAGATGGCACCGGCCCCTCTCTTTCTTTTCGATATACATTATACATATATGTACATATATAGTGAGAGGAAGAGATGGAGAGAGAGAGAGAGAGAGAAGAACCTCTCAGATTAAGTTATGCGCACTGATGATTGTGTATATTTGTACAGAAAACTAGAACGTTTTACCAGTCTTTCTTTCTTTTTCTCTTCTTTTCCGATAAGATTGGTTTCAGTGCAAAAAAACGAGCTGATGATGATTATTAGATGAAGAGAATAGCAAACATTATGATGATGATGACGACGACAAGAGGAAAAAATATGGAAACAATTAATAAACAAAAAAAGGAAAGACAATCATTTGAACTTGTTCTTTTCTTAGTTTGATTCTTTATCTCTAAGTATTTTCCATGAATATTGGATGTTGATTTTTGCATAAGACTGCAGATAAACATAAATACTTAAGAAAACTGACGAGCTTAATCGACATTACACAAGACGAATGTCTTTTTTTCATCTTCGTTGACTTATGTCTTTCTTTTTTTTCTTTCTTAGATGTCTTGTAGCATGCTAGTACATATCATCTTGTTTTCTTTCTTTTATTCTTTATCATTCTGTCTTAGAGTTTTTTTTTTCTTGAAGATCTCATCGATCATTATGATGTAGTTATAAATCGAATCGTCATAAAGGCCAATATCACTCAGTAATAATTGTAATAGCAAATAAATACGAATAAGATTTCTTTTCTGTTTCTTTTGTTTTTCCACAATAAAAAAATATGTTACGAAGAAAAGTGGCAATAATAAATGATTACATATCTTTGTATAAGAACCGAGCGATGAGAGGCGGAATTGCTGAAAGAAATGCCACCGGTCAAAAAGTATTATGTCAAATTCGACTGATGGAAGCGGTAAACAATAATAAAATTCTTGTTGACATGGATGATTTGAAGTGTAACAGAATATAATATGAAATAGAAGGAAAAAACGACGCCGACCAAGAGACAACAAACAAATAACAACAGCAGTAATTTTGGTAGGATGCTAGCAAGAATAAATTATCAAGCTGCTCGTTGTCGATATATTTCTGCTGTCTGGTTGACGATGATGGCAACGACAACGTCTGATCAATCAGGGCCGATGAGAAAAATAAACAAGCCATATGGCGATAGATGATGCTATGTAGTAGACACATTGCAAAACTACTTAAGGAAACATCGATCGACCACCGGCTATCACAAAATACATATGTATAAAGCGATTTTCCGTTCAATCAAGCGTATATCTTTGCATATTTTTCTTTTGTTTATTTAAACATTAGCGTTGTCGTATTGGTCCTTGGATAAACGATTTTCAAGGGAGGTGAAGACCAGGGTAACAGTTTGTTGCATCACCAACGACGACAATCAATAGCGAAGAAGAAAAGGAAGAACATCATCGACTCGGCAACAAACGTTGACGATTGATGATAATCTTTCACACATTTACACGTTTTCTCTTCTTTATATATGCTTACTCTCGCGTTCAAAGTAAAGAGTCGAGGAAAAAAAGAAAAGACCCTTGACAAGAAGTAAACGACCGTATCGGGCATATCAACATTATATCTTACAAATCTGAATACTATGAAGTAGTTATTGATAAACACATTTGACTTTTCTTTTCCTTTTCTCATCAACATGAAGAGGAAAAGAAACTCATTGATTTTATATGAATTTAAACAAAAAAATAATGCAGAGTACTTAATAAAGCCAAACTTACATTTGATTAGATTGACAACATCAATATGAGTACAATGAGTTACGCGCGTGCCGTTGACCTGAAATATACAAAAAAAAACATAAAAATTAGACATTTTGTTATGTAATAAAGAATGTCAAGAATTGAATTGAACATATAATTAAATTATAAATTCAAGTTGATTTCTTTTTTTTATTTTTGTTATTTTCTTTAACAAAACAACTCTCCTAGAATTTAGACATGTGATGAAATGTGCTGTTTATTCATTTGAATTTAATAAATCTCGAACAACCTTTCTCTTTTTTTCGTTTTCGTCAAACATTTACATTATAAATTTGTATCATTTTCATAATTTCGATTTACATATAAAAATGATTTCTTTTTTTTGAACACTCAATTTCAATGCAAAATTCAATATCATCAATGAAAATGGATAATGACAATTTAATATGTGAACTTAAGATAAAACAATAGTTATCATTAGTTGAAAGCAAAGTATGTTATAGATAAACGGAAAAAAAAACCGATGATTCTGATGTTCAAAGATTAATTGATTTTATCGACAGATTATTCTCAACAAACGAAACTAACAACTTCATTAAAAATTATTTTTGATATATGACCTCGAAGAGAAAAAAAATCTTTTGTTTGTCTACTAGATAATCGTTGTTTCAATTTTCAAGTACCGTCTACGATAAGAAGTTTATATTTCGCCTAAAGCAAAAAGAAAATTGGTGACAGCTTTTCATTAATTACTCAATGTTTTCATTTCTTGCTCGAGCAACATCGACCATAGACGAATCTTTTTACGTCTTTTTTTTATTTCATGATACTTCTTTTGTACTTGTCGTTTTTATCAATGAATACATCACTTGAAAGTCACAAAACTGATATTAATGCAATTGTGTAAGTGCCCTTGATGCTATCTCAATAGTTCAATGTCAAGACATGTTCATCTGATTTTATACATTCGTATATTCTTTTTTCAGATATTCATCTATTAAATTTAGTACCGTACAACAAATGAATTTTTCATCAAATGATATGATGTAATAAAAAAAATAGATAACAGGTGTTCAATTGATTCCATATGGAACAGGTGTATAATTTTATCGATTTGTGTTCAATCAGAACGATTTATTAGACAAAATAAATCAGTTTCATATGAGATGTTGAATTATGTTGTGCTTTTTGAAGAAAAATTTCTTTTTTCAAGGTTATTATTAGATCATTTATAATTTGTTCAAGAAAAGTATCTCTATAAGTGACATTTTGTTTTCTTTTCACATTTTATAGAAATAATTAACTTCTTTGTAAGTTCATTTTCGATATACTATATGCATATTTTTACAATCCAATAAGAACGAACAAACAAGTAAATGACACGCAAACAAATGAATATGTTCGGTCATATTTTACAATCTTCGACATACTACGTTAGATGACAATTATCTACCTGTTCTTTTTCACATTCTTAAACCGCAATACTTCACAATGAGAGTAAAAAGAGAAAGTGAGAGAAAGATATAAATGGCAGCATATTTTTTTATGATGATGATGTTCATGGTTAAGTCACTGTAATTGAAATTGTGTTCGTTTTTTTCGTTTTTTTTTCTGATGTTCACACAATGGTAGAATGAGGTAAGCTAACGAATGATGCAATGATAGATATAAATGGAAAATGGAAGCGAAGCGTAAAATGGCGGTATTGGCACTAGTAAATGCGATAATAGTTTATTGAAAGTGAAGAAGAGAGAATAGACAAGAAAAAAAAGGAAGAAATATGTGGGAAGGTACTAAGCAAAAGAACAGTAGGTCGAACAAAAAAAAAAGAGAATTTATTGAAAAGAAAAGAGACTAGAGTCGAACATAAAGTGAAACATCAGCCACTTAACTTTACCTCATACATTTTTTGAAAGGCAAAGAGAGTGAAAAAAAAAAGATAATAAGACAAGTTCTTATGTTTATCATTTAACTAATCGATTCTGATAGAACGAGTAACGATATTCATAATTCATCGTAAGTTCTCTTAGTTTGTCTATTTCTCAATAAAGAAAAATAAAACTAAGATCTATATACCAATTGAATGATACGTATTTAATAGATACTCAATATATTTCAAATAATCCGAAACATTCATTCTTTTTTTTTCTTTGTCTTTTTAAAGTGATCATTAAGACAACAAATATTAGTTTTATAAATTGACAATGAATATTATCACTTCAATATCATAATTATCATCGATTACATTCTTATAATATGGCAACTGAACATTATCGACCAAGTTCAAAATCAACATATAGTCGTTTTTCACCTATACAATATCCAACTTTATCTAAATTTCAATCATCTATTCCAATTAATCCTCTTCAAATAAATTCAACAAAACATCAAAAACCAATTATTAAAGATTTACGTCGAGTCAATTTATTTGATGAATTATATCCTGTTCAAAAAAATAAAACACGTATTCAAGAAACAGTTGAAGTAATACCACAACCTGTTTCATGTGAACGTATATTTTATTCTTATACAAATGATCATACAGAATTACGTTCACGCGAATCTATTAAATTAGATCAAGATATATCTAAACGTTCAAATAATAATCTTATGAAATTATTTCATAATAATGAATATGATAAACGATTCAACATAAATATTTATTCAACAACACTTTTTATTTTTCCAAAACAACGTAATGAAAAATTTATAACAGAAATACGTTATATTCCGGAGCATATTACAATAAGATATAAAACAACACTTGAATTATTAGCAGCAACATTAACATCATCAAATCATGAACGTTATTATCAAAATATTCAAGATTTTTATCATATAGCTAAAGACATTTTTTATCGAATTTAAGATTTCTTTTTATGAAATTGTAAAGAAAAAACACAAAACAAAGTACACTAGACTTAGAAATTAAATAATAAATGTTTTACCTTTATGATTTGATCATTTGTATTTATTCCAGCTCGATGTGCAGCACCACCTTCACGTACACTTAATACATAAACAGGATTATCACCAGATACTGTTAGACCATAACCAAAACGATCTCGTTGAATAATAACATTTTTTTGTTCGAGACCTAAAGAAAATTATCAAACAGTTTTTTTTTCTCTTTAGAATAAACAACCAACAAACTAACCAGAAGGTAAATCAGGATCAGTTATATATGATGATACACTAAATAAATAATAATGACTTGATAAAAAGAAAAACAAAAGAAAACTTCTTTACCGTTCTTGTTCCATTTGAATACTAATCACCACTAAAATAATGTTGATTCATCTAAATAAAAAATAAAATAAATTAGAGTTTAATAAAAAACAACAAAAATAAATCTCTCGCTGAATTGATTGTTATTTTAAGAAGCATATAGAATAAATAAACATAAAAAAAAGGCACAAGGAAAAGCTTTTGATACGCAAGACTATGCTTGATATATCGAATGATGATGATGATGATGATGATGAAGAACTGCCAAGGCACCGTTTTAGTCATTCATTCATTCTTCCTCTCTTCAATTGACTTACTATTTTCATTGGTTATTGATAACCATTTAATATTTTTATTACATCGGTCAATCCTTTGTAAATAGTTTTAGTCATTTTTTTTCTGAATAGTTCAAATAAGAAAAAATATCAATTGATTTTATAGAACAGTAAAAGAAATAAATCTTTTGTGAGATTGTCGCTATATTAATGTCAATGATTATAGCGTCATCTAGATAAATACTTTTTTCTGATAAAGTTTTTCTATACTTAAAAGACTTTATTTAGTAAATACAAGATAAGAGTGAAACAAAGAGAAAATTTATCCATTATAAAGAGTTTATAATTGTCGTAAAGGTTTATCTAAGCCAACTGCGAGAGTTATGGCCAATGAAAACATGACGAAATTTGTATGTTGGTATGTACGTCGTTGATAGTTTTTTATTAGCACGTTAAAAAAATGAAAAGAAACAAGAGAAAAAGAGCCGAATTAAGTTTTTCATATGAGAACTGCAAATTGTTTGTTCACCCAATGAAAGAGTGAGTGAGTGATTGATAGATTGATGCAAGTCAAGTATTTTAATTGATACTTTGGTTCGTTTCCTTGATCACACTGAAACGAAGGTAAAACAAAAAGAAAATCACATCTTTTTTATCATTTAAGCATATATAACTTTCTTTTTTTCTGAAGGATGAGACAAAAAACCCTGATGTCAACATATGTCATGTTCTTTTTTTTCTCATATTAGTTAGTTGTAGTTTTTGTTCTTATCTTTCATGTGTTTTGTCTGGTAGTAAACTCAAATATTTTTCTAATTACAGAGCACACATTAACACATTCGAACATGTTCAATTCGAATGACGTTGATGTTTCAAAAACAACAAGTATCAAAATCATATGTATTTTTTTTCTGCGGATGAATATGCCGCATCACCACAAAAACATACACACACATGTACTCGACGTCTAAAACGAATTTTCGACAGAGCACGAAATAACAAAAGAAAAGAAATTTCAATTTCAATTTTTCTTTTTCTTTTTCTTTATTCCATGTCTTTGTATTGTGTGTGATTGGGAGAAATTTGATTTGTCCAATAGACAATTTTTTTATTTCACACTATGTCAATAAACATTTCTTTAAAATAATTACACACACATTCAGACATCGTATTACGCCTTAGCCTACAGATGTTATATTTTTCTTTATAGATGAATCGAAAGCGTTGACAAAAAAAAGACGAAAAAAAATGTGATTTATTACTTCATTTTTTTTTTTTGATAATAAGAATAACAATAAAAAAACCTTTTTTTTTCTTGTTATTATTATTGTTCTTCAATTATGTCAGCTACAACAATTCATCAGGTAACAACATACAAATTAGAAAATAAAATTATATGATTTTTTTTCTAGTCTCGTGTCCCAAAAGTTCATATTCCTTCAGACACAACTTTTCAAGCACCAATAAATCGTTCAAATTCTCGTTATAAAAGTACCGTACATGTTCTAACATCAAATCGTGAACATCAAACATCAAATAGTTATCGACGTCGACGTCCAGATTCTGAAACAACTAATTATCCACCACCATCTTATAATATTGTTTCATATAATCGACCACAACCTCAACAACAATTATCATCTCGTACTTATCAACAAAACTATCCAGTATCATTATCATCACGTTCATCATCATCATTATCATCAAATCGTCGAACATCAACAACTGAAATTGTACCATCTACATCAACATCAACATATTCATCATTAATAACAGTTAATAATAATCGTTCAACTATTTCAAATACTTCATCGACAATAAATCCAACAGATTGTACATCCAATCAAAATAAACGTTATTCAACTGATACAACAAATCCATCAAATAAATCGTTAATAAATTCAAATAATGATTCAAAAACAATATCAAATCATTTAGTTATTATACCAAAATCTAAATCAAATCATAAAATTGATAAGCATCATCATACATCATGTCCAGTTGCTTATCAAAATCAAATTAATTTAGGTACAATAACAATTTTATCCGATTCAAGTTCGGATAATACAATTCTTCATCATTTACCTGATCATAATGAAACAACAGATAAATCTCAACAATCATTACATGATGAACGTTTACATCGTTCACCACGAAAACCAAATAATAATATAATTGGATCTCGATTACAATCGACATCATCAATAGATGAACAAAAAAAAATACAAATTCCATCTATTCATTATACAATAGAACCAATTGAAGTTATTGATGATTTACATGATGAAAATCATTTTGATTTAAAACAAAAAGTAATTCGTGAAGAAAAAAAACGTAAAGCAAATGAAAATGAACAAGTTTTAATTAATGTTGATGAATATGCATCAGAAATATTATTATATCTTAGAAAACGAGAAGTATAAAACAAAAAACAAGAATATCTTAATTATTAATTTGAAATAAAATAATTCTTTTTTTTTTTTTTTCTTTAATTCGTTATAGAATGCATCACGACCAAAACCAAATTATATGCGTAAACAAACAGAATTAACATGGGATATGAGAGCTATATTAATTGATTGGTTATCAGAAGTAGCTGATGAATATAAATTATTTTCTGAAACACTTCATTTAGCTGTTAATTTTATTGATCGTTTTCTTTCACGTATGTCAGTAACAAAATCAAAATTTCAATTAATTGGTACAACAGCACTTTATTTAGCTGCGTATGTTTGTTTTAATTTTTTTTTACTCTATTATTTTGTTAATAGAATAAAAAACAAATTATACAATTTTATTTCTTTCTTTTAGAAAATGTGAAGAAGTTTATCCACCAAATGCAGCTGAATTTGCTTATGTTACTGATAATGCATATACAAAGAAACAAGTATTAAAAATAGAAGATCTTTTATTACAAACACTTCATTTTGAAGTATCAACTGTAACAACACATACATTTTTATTACATTATCTTAAATTAGCTCAAGTTGATGAGGTTACTGAAGATTTAGCGAGGGTAAGAAGTCGAAAAAAAAAAGAAATTCGCTATATAACACATATAACATAAATTATTGAAATTTGTTTTCTTATTTTGAAAGAATTAATATTAAATTTTAGAGCTGTTAAGACAAATATCATATTTAAAAAGTTCGATTCCTTGCAAGATTTCAACCATCCAAGTTTTCCGCTAATTAACAGTATTATAAATAATATTAATATAACGCTAACGGTGAATAGTAAAGTCAAGACAAATATGCCCTATACTGATCTCCAAGTCATTTGCATGAAAAATTCTAATTTAGTTAATGTAAACTTTATTTAATTTAGTTTAATCTAACAAACAAGTTACAGAACGATATTAATGTTTAGTATTTAGTAAGATAATAGATATTTGCATTTTTGAACAAGAAACAAATATAAAATTAATAAATATTCTCATGAAGAGAAAGAATATTAGAACTGTTAGAGCTTGATTATAACTATTTAATCTGATCGATGGATTTATCCAAATAATAATTTTAGAAAATTATATTGATATTATTTTTGATTTCTAGACGACAGTGTTTATCGTCTGTATACGAAATAATACACAAAACCTAGACTTCAACTCGGATACTGATAAACTATGAATTTGGTATAATTTTTTTTTTTGAAATTTAAAATTTTTCTTTTCCTTTCCGATAATCTAATAACAACTAAATTTATGTGTTCTATAAAACAATATCGATTAATTTTAGAAGTTATATACGATTAATAAAGACATTATATTTTATTCACTAAAAATAATAGGAAAAGAGAATTTCTCAAATCAACTTAGTCATTAAACATAGGTTTTGAAATCTGTTTTAATTCGATAAGTGTTCTAATTTTATGAAGATTCTATTGTAAAAATGAATTTGTCAAAATGATCTAACCTTTATAAAGCTTTTGTTGTTAAAATAACATTCATCGTTAATACGATTTTCTTTTTCGAATATACTTGTAATACTGATGATCTTGCGTAAAATTAGTTCGATGAATTATTTTTTCAAGATAAATAAATCTACATTAATAGTCAATAAAGATATATTTTAAGTTCAACAATAAAAGCATAATCTATAATTATTTGTTGAATTACTTGTGGGTTTTTTCTTGTTTTTCTTTTTAATGACTAAAATAAAATAAAGTAACAAAGATTATTAACTCGATAGACTATAATGTCGAACTAGAGGGTAAAATCTATATTGTTTTTCTTTAATAACTGTTAAGAATGAGATAAAAATCAATGATTTCGCTTTGAATTAAAAAAAGCATTATACTTGATATGGCAAAATGATTGCATATATATTCATTGAAGAACATGAGAAAAAGTTAATTTCTTTTTTCAAAGATTCACAATTTTACGCAAGATTTGTATTGCAAAATTATATGTTGGTAGCTGTATTCAAACGTTTAAAAATCATTAAAAATGAATATGTTTATTGCCGTGTAGTATTTTCCATTAGGAAAAGTTTGAAAAATTTAGAAACTAACAAATATGGTTATTGTATTCAATAGTGTAATCAATGTCAAATTAAATAAGAAATTTATAATTTTATTTAAATTCATCAATAATCAGCCAGCTATTACTTTGGAACTTTTTCTTCTTTTCTTATAGGGATTTGCAATTTTAAGCTAAATTTGTTCTAGAAATGTGGAATCTAGATAACTTTGTAATAAGATAGCTGCTTTGTGAAATCTTTTTTTGTACACCGTCTATGGAAAAATCTTTATCAAATCGTAGCATCTAGACGAGATAGACATAAACGATATAAACATCTTTCAGTAAAACCTAGAATAAACAGTAAAATTTCTACTTTAGAAGTCTTATTATATTTCCGTTTTGTTTCAAATGTTGTATTCAACAACGAATGCACCATAATTTAAATCATTAAATTCAAAACATTTCCAACTGTTTTAAATTACTCTTAATAACAAGTACAATAATAATACACATGTTCTCTTTTAATAACTTTTTAAATATTTGAAAAAGAAATCCATCAGTTATATCATGTTCCTGAATGTAAAACATGTAATATTACAAAAAATTATTCTTAACTAATAATAACCTGTTCTATTTTTGTTTCATGCATAATCATAATTCTTTTGACATGCCTTGTAGGAAGATTAAATTACGCATTTGTTCGGCTCCTAAAGTATACACATATTTCAACATTTAATTATTATAAGTAATTTTTCCCAAAAACCTGATCTATTCTAACTTAAATTAAGTTAATAAAACGTTCATACCAAAATAATAAATAAATAAATCTTTTTTTGCTCGAATTGCTTTTGTTTTGCAAAGTTAATTTTGTTTTTTTTTCTTAGTACATTTCTGAACTAACACTTCTCGATCCTGAATGTCTTCAGCATTTATCGAGTTTACAAGCAGCAGCTATATTATGTCTTGCACTTCACATGCGTCATAAACCACCTTGGGTAAATATATAACATTACAAAATATTTTTTTTTCCACGTAAAATGATCATTTATCAATATTGTTTTAGTCAAACACTTTGAAACAAACAACTGGTTATACAATTCAATCATTTTATTCGATAATGGAAAAAATTTTTTTCGTTGTAGCCAAAGCCAATGTACATGATAAATGGGCAATAACAAGAAAATATCGTCATGTCAAACATCATTGTGTTGCTTTAATTGAACTTCCAACAGCATTACCATACACTGATATGGATAGTGATGCTACTTTATAAAATAATTGAAAAATATTGCTTTACACAGTTTTTAATTGTCTGACTACAAATCCTTATGTGTTCGTGTGATTATTAATAATTTATGTCAATTTTTTAGACATAAATTCTTTTCATTTCTTCTTTTGATAGACTTGTGTATGTTCTTGGAATGACACATTTCATTTATTCATTTGAAAAAAAATGTTTTAGTGTATTTTAAAGAACAAACTTTCGTTTTTTTTCTTTCTTTCTTTCTTTCTGTCTTCTTTCTTTATTTCTTGTATACTTATATAAATAGGCAATTTTTCTCGGCCATATGATTCTTCGAAGGTCAACGTATTTGTTTATTTTTGTTTCTGACAATGATATAGACTAGTATGATATATAATCTTATTTGTTCGTTTTTTTTTCTTTTTGGCTTTTATTCGAATTTTGTTTTGTTTTTCAGAATCCGTCCAAAAACTGTTTTTATGGATACAGATTGTACCCTGAGTTTTGTTTTGTTTTTCTTTTCTTTTTGCATTTTCTTACCTGTGAACAGTTGTACTGAGATTTTACAATTAAAGAACAAATAGAAGGTCTGTGTGGGTGTGCGCGTGCATGTTAGTTTTAATCGATTAATACTGATTATGAAGTAGACAATTAGTTCTACTGATATTTCGTGACACGATATAGGCAAATGATTTACAATTATTATTTCAAAACAAGATAAATTAGAACACCTTCATCTGGTCTGTTATCTCTTATTTTTGGAAAAAAAACTTTTTATGTTATAATGCATACGAAAACAAAATGCAATAAATCATCACCGGCAGTTTTTCTGAAATAAAGTCTGGTTTTTATTTCTTCATTAATGACTAGATTTCTTCATCATATTTTGCTAACTTGTAAAAATCGGTTGTTTTTGTAATGAACGACGTAAACTAGATTGTTCTCGTAACTTAAATGATTTGGAAGAATCACGTAGAGAATCATGGAGTGATGTTGATGTCATTGCTATTGAATCATAATCAGTAATATTTCCATACTGTTTTTCATTATTGAATAACCTTTTTCTTCGTAAAGTTGTATTTAAATGATCTGAATGTGATGGTGTTAATGAAAACAGGCGTTTTAAAGCACGACGAAAATTTCCACCAAATAATACATAAATAAAAATATTAATTGAATAACTTAAATACGACATACAATGAAAAATAACATCCCGATAAACAGCAAAGTCAGTTTCAGTTGTAGTAGTAGTAGTCGTAGTAATAGTTTTATTTGATGCTGAATTTTCTTGTGAATGTTCATATAAAAATATAAAACGAAGATAATATGATGGAAAATTTAACGAAAGACATGTTAATGATATAGCTAAAAGCATTTTTGTTAAACGTAATTCAGTTAATACATGTCGTTGTGCTGATTCATGACGTTTTGATGATATTTGATTTTTTTTCAATGTTGATTTTAATTTTATTGATTGTTGTTGTTCATTTAATAGATTATTATTAGTATCATTAATAACATTTATATTTGGTTGTGATGATTCAGTATTATTAAATGTTCGATATAAACATAATGTTTCTTGTTTTCTTGTTGAACGAAATGGACGAATAATACGTTGTGAACGATGTGATAATATTGCATTTGACTGTGTAAGATCTATTATTGGTGATAATGATGTTGATATATGTTTTATTGATGTTGAATTTATTTTCTTTTTTCCATTTGATGCACGTTGACATTGATAACGTGAACCATTAGCAAAAGCATGTTGACGAAATGTTTTTGAACAAAATAATTTTCTTATAATAAGTATATTTAATATTGAGACAAGAATAAATGGTAAAAACATTGTCATTATTGTATCAATCGTATTAAGAGTATTTAAATAACGTTCATAGCCATCTTTTTCTCGACATTGCCCTTTATTATCAACGTCAGATACAAAAAATGCTGGATGAATATAACATATAAATGGAGGTATGATTATTATTAGTATGACTATACGAGATAAATTGGGTGTACATTGTGACATATGTTTCAATGGAAAATTTACGGCAAAAAATCGTTCAGCCGTAAATACAAGCACCATCCATATGTGTACAAATGAAGCAACAAACGATATATATGTTTGAATATAACAAATAAAACGAATTTTACGATATAGATCACTAAAGAAAGCTGTATGAAGCATACCAGGTAAGAGGTCAAGAATAAAGAAGGCATCGATTAATGCCAATGTAAATAAATATGCTGATGAACGAAGGCGTCTAAAAATATTAATTTTATTTCAAATCTTTCTTTTTTTCATTATGACAAAAGATCGGAAGGCAAAGTAGAATTTAATGTCAGAGAGAACAAAAGAATCATTCTGTAAGTTGACAGATTCATTTATCTAATTGAATAGTTATCTTTTTTTCTTTGTTCTTATTTACCTTAATGATTTAGTACAAAAGACGATGGCACATATTATATTTCCAGAAACACCAAGAATCACTAATGCGGCGACATAAACAACTTGAGAATAACGCATAAGGGTATTTTTACCAATCGATGATGATGACAATGTCCGATTTAATGATTGATTTGTAAGAAGAAGAAGAGTTGAAAAGGTTGAAGTCCATGACATATTATATTGATCCATTTTTTCCTACTTCTTTTTTTATTAATAATTACCGTTTAATATTGAGCAATGATATATAACATTTAATGACATTCTATTTACGCCGTTGTCTACTTTTCATTCGATTATAAAAGCTCATTCAAATGAAAGTAAACACGTTCGGATTTCTAAAAAATAAAACGAAAAAGACGGATAGATTTATCAATAAAAGTATGATGACATTTTTCTTCTAAATACTCTGTTAAATATACATCAATACTAATATTTTTCTTTCTTCTTCTTCTGTTTCTAGTTTTCTCATAAAAGACTATTAGACTTTCTTCTTTACCATAGTTGTCATTCTCGTCTTTCTCTTCGTCATTTTCTCTTGTGTTTTGCTACTGTGTAGACAAAAAGAAATATATATATATATATCGACAAGACACTATCACTAATAGTCGGGATATATATATATATTTATATATAAACAAGACGAAAATCAAGTTACTTATTAAAGATAAAAGAATTATAAAGATACAATTAAATATTCACCGAACTGAAAGAAATAAAATTCCATTTTCGTATTAATAAAAAAAAAAATAAAGATATGATTAATTCTCAAAAGTTAAACATATTTTTTTTCTCATATTATTTCGATCTAATACTTATAAAGCAAAAGGAACTACTCAAGTGAATATTTCCATATTAATAATATGATAAAGAAAAAAACAAAGATATGAAATAAATAGTAAAGATTGACATATTTTGTTTATACTTCTGATTATATTCATTGATTATAATATGGATAATCAAATCCTCAAATCATCTAACCAATGTGTATTCATCCATGTCGTATTGTCAAATTGATAATCTACTGAGATTGTTGACTACTAAATCAATAGATAGGTTACAAATATGAGCAAAGACAAATAATAATAACTAATAAATTGATGAGTGATGTCGTGCGTTTTTTTACACTAATCATGCTTATTTTTTTTGTACTGCAGATTAGTATGCACACAACAATATGACATTGTTTTTGTTGTTTCTTTTTGTATCAAAAGCGTTAAAAAAAAAGAACTAATTAAACCCGAGTCGACGAGAGAATATTATAAGTAATGATCACAAAAAAAATAGTAGTAGATCGAGTTTCGAATGCTGTAAGCGATTGGATGACTACCATATTACATATTGAAATAAAATATATCGTATTTATGTGTATGCTTGCGATAGTGTTGCGGAGGTCACTATAAGGATGAGCTGTTAGTCTATCACACAGATGCTTATTTATACTTTTATTCTTTGCATATATTGTTAAGGTTAAGAATAGATTTTATTCAAAGACTTTAACCGAGATCAAGCTGACTCGAGACGGTTAGTTTTATTTAAGATCTCGTTGTATTAAGCTCAAAGAATACGTGCTACAAATTAGAATTAAACTAAAATAATAATAATAATTATTCGTTTCCGTATAGAGAAATTAACAAACCATGATGAAGTCTAAAATCAAATCATGCATTCAATATGTGCGACAATTAGTTCACTTGAAAGAATGTATCACAGCGAGTAATGCGTATCTTAATTTCATGTCTTATATATTATGTCATAAAGTACGACATATTCTCTATTTGTATGAAAAGAAGAAAAAACCTATTGAATAGATAGATATGACGGTTGAATGTTTGAGTCTATAAACTCATTAAACATAGATGATTTTAAGTACGGAGATATAATCAATTTAGAAAACATAGAACAAGACAAACAAATGGCATTCATTTGCATCTTGTACTTCGACAAAACTAAATAATAATGGAATATTTAGAAAAAAGAACAACAACAGCGGCAATCGCTACAAGACAATTTTTTCTAATCACATGATAAATAATTCATTTTTTGACCAAATGTCTACAGGAATGTGTAAAGCTTTATTATATGAGCTTGAGTAATGTTTTTTTTGTAATTTTCGATAATATCATTAATATTCACCAACGAAAGACTATATTTTCAGGCAAATGTGTTCTTGTCAATCACATCATCATCAATGCGGATTCTTGTTTGTCCTTAATGCGTGACAGTACAATAAGTTTGAAGGGCATAAATAGAGATTTACTCCGATATCATTTTATTATACGGCTAATTAAATTTAAGAAAAGGAAAAAAAACAGATTTGAAAACATGATATAACAATTGAATCTATTAGTGATTATTCGAAGTTGCGTTAATAATTATCTATATTCATAATATTCTGTCTTCTCTTTATAGTTACAAAGAAAATATTATTCTGTTTTATTTTGAAAAGCAATTTAAATAGATTATGTTTTATTCATTATAAAATTAGCTAAAGGATATATATTATTTATAGAGCATTATTCCATTGAATATTAAAATATCAATTTGTTTTTTTTGTTTAAGCATTTTACTTTCATAAAATGTTACTTATATTAATTTATATGTAGCAACAATATAATAAAACAAAAAACAACATAGTTGACAGAGTTGTTTCACGGATCAATGAGTAACATTGAAATAATATATAAAAAAATAATTGTATTATTATTTTTGAAAATAGTTTGTGACAGATTACATCGATTATGATAGCAACAATATGTTTTTTCCCAACCAGGATAATTTGGGTTTTGTGATAATCGATAATTCAAGTCACATGTTATAGAATCATTCATTGAACGCTTTATTGAACCTCGATATGTATTTTTATATTCGTAATTATTGCTATAATAGTTAGTTTTCTATGATAAAAAAACAAAAATACATTCTTAAAAAAGAAACAGAAAGAATTATCTTACGCACGAAGCAACTAACGATTGGTTCCATTAATGGATTATTACTAGAACTAATAGCTATATTTTTTATTTGTTTTTTGTATTGTTCATCATTGTTAAACATGGACTTTATTGGAAATGGTTGAGGACAATAATAACCTTGTTCATCATTACAATAATAGCATTCAAATGCATGAAGAGTTTGAATATTGAATGCAACTACAAAATAAAATTATTCAATTTTATTTCTTTTTCTTTTTTTGCAAAAGCCAAGAGGTACTTATATTTGATTAACATTATCCATGATAGTCTAGCTTATAAGAAATACTTTTCTTGTCTTGCTAATAATAGATTAACATAAAACATGTAGAGTGGGTCATTTTTATTCTGTGCTTATTTTTTGTTTTCAATGGAAAATATAATAAATATTAATAGAAGAACATCATTCATGATGTCATGTTATAGTTTATAAGTACAATACTTTGAATAAAAAATATACATATCTAATGTGTGGTCTACAATTTCAAATATTATTATTACATATTCCTAATCATATGTGTCATATGTTACAGTACTCCAGACTATATCATTTCGACAGTATGAAAATATTTAGTTAACAAAGTTAATTATTGTCTACTTACGAATAATGAATAGTAGTTGCAACATTGCAAGAAAAGAAAAACTACTAATGTTAGTTTACATCAGATGAAGATTTGGCGCACTAAAATACTTTTTTTTTGTTCTACATAAAAATAGAATTATCATGTCATCATTTTCAATTCATCAGTATGTTTTAATTTTAAATACAAATATATAAATCGTCTTTTTGTTAGATAAGATCTCTAAATAATTAGTCACATAAAAATAAAAACTACATATTTTTTTCCCTAGAATCAATTCACATAAAATTACAATGCTAAATTTTTATTCTTGTTTTTTCATCAATTCTGCATTATATTATGGGTACATGAAACTTCTTAAAGCCTGTATGTTGTTCTTTGGTTTTCAACATTATGGAACTTCTCCTATTCTAATTAGCTATTAGTTAACTTTGTCTCATGTTACATTTAATAATAGTAACGCAATCTGGTTTCTCAAGTACAGAATTTATTCGGTATTAAAATTACGAGTTTAACTATTTTAAACTAAACCAAACAAAGATTTTTCTATTAGCTTCATTTTTTTGTGATTTCGTTGCATGAAATGAAAATTTACACGAATATGATCGAAAGTACTGTTAATCGTGAATTCTTTTCGTGTAATAAGTTATCATTATTTCTTCTTAGGTACTTCTACAAATGTCCTATGGGAATGACTTTTCTTGATTCCTGTAATACTTTTAGAGTTCCTATTACAGATTTATGTTGTGTGTTTGAGAAAAACTATTATTACCAAACTCTAGTGTCTAGCGGTGTCGCACTTTGCACCACGTGAGATGGCCTTGAATGAAAAAGAAAATTATCATTGGAGGTACATTGTAGTAGAATAAATCAATGATGCGTCGAAATTTATCAACATTAAGTTAAGATAATTATTTTCTTCATCAATTAAACATTTTAAAAGAGAAAAAAAAATAACTACTAGTACTTCAACTATACCAAAGAAAAAAAAACAAAAAACTTTAAAGAGAAGATAATAATAATGCTATATTGCAAGATAATTCGAGTAATAGTCCTTTCGAAGGTGATAGCTGCAAAGAAAATAATAGTTTTAATACTTGAACTCGAATTTATTGAATAATGAATCAATTTGTCTAGGTTTTGCTGATAGGTATTTATTAGTTTTTCTTTTGTTTAATAAACCATACAAGAGTCTTTGCAAGAATGTCGAAATCTATTTCTCAACAATGTAACATCGGATTGACTTCAACATGCTTTGTTTGAAAGTGAAAAGTTTATCGAGAGTATATACATGAAACAAAACGATTTTCGGAAATGACCATTTTTCAATACCATTCCCATTCTCGATTTCCACAGAAGACGGGATAGAAAACATCGTTTCCGCAAAGCACTAGCTTCTACACAATACACATAACTCATTCACAATCAGCATTTTGTTTTCAGAGATCAAATAAATCAATGTATGATTGAGGCAATTAGTGAATAGAGTGCATGCATCTGTAGAAAACCTATATATCAATTGAAAAATATTGTTTTCTTGGTTAATATTGTAATAGAAAGGGCCAGTCATAAATAATACGATGATAAAAAAATGAAAGATCTCCTTGTCAGTTCAATGAAATAGGTGGATTTTTTTTGTACAGATCAAGTAAACAAATAATACTATTATGTATTATTGATGGTATCACGAGAGAAATTTACTTGTTAATCAAAAACAATAAGAAGAAACCAAAACGAACTTTTTAATGACACTATATTGATGTATATACAACATATTTTCCGAACTAGTTAATGAGAAGTCAATGATTTCAAAATTTTGAGTTTTTAATTATGAAACATTGATTCCTGCAAAGGAATTAGTGTCTCCAAGACTACAATGTTACATTTTACTTATGTGACACGAATTTCAATATTTAAACTGAATTAATTTTAAAAATTTAGTCTATGTACATCAGGATAGTTCATTTTGATTTCTTTCTATTATTCTCTTCGATGACAACTGAAAAATTATCTATGAAGCGATTCATGTGTATTTTTCTTCCTTGACAGTAGTGTTTGTTTCTCTTATCCATATGGATAAAAAAAACGTTAATGGTGCTTTTATGACCCACCCTGTATATATATATATATTGTTGTCTTTTGTACGCTATAGTTTGATTCTTATTCAGACCAACGATACCCTTAATTAATTGACAACAGTGGGGAACACTTCCAAGTGTGAGTGAAGCTGTTGCTGACCTGGAGCAATACTTCATATTATCAACCATCAAATAGAATATTAATATATGAATGCAATACAATATTTTAGATTTTTTATTTAAGAAAACAAAATTGTTCAAATATAGTTCCAAGTATAAATCTATTAAAGAACGTTCCAGAATAAATTCCATTAAATCTTGACGTCTTTTTCTCTTACTTCCTAATCAAAAAAGTTTTCTTTGTATGCCAAAAGATACAAAATTGCAAGTTACACAAAACTTGACAGTTTTATTTTTCAAACAAGTTTAATCTTGTCGATACCAAAAATAATTCACGACAACTTAGTCATTTCACTGCAATTTTCTAATCTCTGCTGATAGTTATTTATTTGTGTAAAACTTTTGCTCATGAAAATCGATGCCAAAAGTAAATTACACTTAATATCAATAGAAAGAGAATTTTGTGGTCTATTTGTCAACGACACTTTCAAGGTTCCCTACACGGTTGTTTACGAGAAAAAGGCATGGAGTCGACAGCTGTCGGTATTTCTAAATGCACTTTAGAATATCATATTTTCAAAAACTAGATTTCTTCTATGAAAGATTTAATATTATTCTATCAGATATAAAACTTAATGTCGAACAAAATTGTGTAAAGATTAAATTGAACTATGAACATATTTAGGTTATTTTGAATTAGAAAATAACGATGATAGAGATTTGTCAGAAAAAGAACTTTTTCTGAAGCTTCCGAATTTTTTACTTCAAAATTTTTCCTTTCAAAGATTTGTTCTACAATTCTAAAATATGCATCCAGAAATGTAGAATTTTGTAAGATGGTTAAAAATTCACTCCGACCTTTATCAAAAAAGTTCTCATCAGTTTCTTGTATTTTGTTGTTTTGACCGTCGCATCTAGACGGTTAAGTAGATGTTCTACTTCTAAATTTTGCGCTTACAAAAGAAAGCTATTTAATAAATAATGTCAACAATTCTATAGATTTTAAAATTCTTTTATCTTTAGACATAAAAGGGAATTTTCTTTATGACTCAGAAATGAATCAAAACATGTGCTCAGATCTAGTACAATTTCTTTTCGGACATCTATTAGAATTAAATAATAAATAAGACTAATTAAAGCATTGCGACATTAAAAAAATATATTTATCTGATGTGAAAAAAAATTCTTTTACTACGCGTCAAAAAACAATCAATTGTATTTAACGATTACTAGGCGTAACGCGTCTATTGTTTGCATTAAATGAAAAAGAAAAGAAGTCTGTTGTTATGTTTATAAGAGTTAGATTTCTCGTTTTGAAAAGCTAAAAAGCTATTAAGCTGCATTTAAATCGAGACGAGTTTTTCTTTTTCTTTTTTTTCAAAGAACACTTTATAAGGCGAGATAGGTAAAAACATTGATTGTCAAACATTTTAAAGCTGTTTTTTTTTGCATACATGTTTTTATCAATGATTTTTTGCCATTGAATACTTTTTTGAAATTTTTAAAAGACGTATTCATTTAACTTTGATAAAAAATTCGACTAATCAGATGGGCAACAATCGTTCTCGTGTAACACCTTCACGACCATTAAAAATATTTGATACTCAAACACGTGCACGATATAAAAATCAACAAGAATTAGTTCAACTACATGTTAAACTTAGACAAATAAATTTTCAACAAAATGAAGCACTTTCACGGCTAGCTTTTGAGAAACATGATGCTAAAATGAAACTACATGAATTACGACATGAAAGCGGACAAAGACAATTCTTTAGAAAACTTAATAAACGTATGTAAATTTATATTCATTTACTTTTATTAATCTCAGGTCAAGAAGAATTCCTTTTTCTTTGGGACAAGAGGAAAGACAACGTTATTATCTTATTCATAACATGTATTAATGCTCTAATACACTCGAGCGACTATAGAGAAAAAATGCATTGCATACTGAAACATTCGACAATAATCTCAACTAATATAATTTGATGTTCTGTCTGTTCAACTCCTCTGAGATGGTTATGTAAAATTCATCAGAATTAATGCTCGTTCATATAGAATCAAACTATGCATTTTTATGTGTAATGATTCATAGATGCATTGAAGCGAACTTTAACGACAGAATCTTCCGTTTTCTTGTGCACAATGTTCTTTAATATGATACCTTAGAGTACAAATTATTTCAAATTAAATATCAAATTCTATTGACAAAGAAAAAAGTAATTGCTGACGACAGCACTATTTGAAGGGATTCATTACTTTTCGACAAATAGAAGATATCTTGAAATTGAAATAACTTGAATAAGATTTCAGCAGATAAGCTCTCTCTGTAGAGCTACGATACATTTACTGGCGTTTTGACATAGAACGAAAGATCGGTATGGAAATTAAATAGATAAAATTTCAGTGAAAGTGGTTGTTTTCTTCTTGAGATATTTCAGTTTTTTAAAAGGATAGAAAACTCGGCAGTTTACCAATGTTAAATATTTCAACCAAGAACCAATTTTTTCCAACTGAAATAGTGAATATATTTCTAGAATTATGAAACATACTAAAATGTCAGGTCAAAAGCTCTTAATTCAATAGAGAAGACTTTCGAGTGCAACTACTTAGAGTTTAGAATTCCTATCTAGTCATAAGTAAATTATGACTTACTAATATGTTACCAGAAATATAAACTAATACTTGAATAATACCAATACTAAACTTACCGAAAAATACTTGTACTTATGAGAATAAATGAAATATATAAATATATTGTTTCTTAGACATATTATATGCAAAAATAAAATCTGATTCCTACTCATATATTTTCTGTTCGATATGTAATTACATAAAATAGATAAGATATCAAGTACTAAATATTTCTTAACTGTTTATCTTCTCAATAAGATAATTTTATTTCCCAAGAATCAAAGTATAGTAATACAGCTTGACATAATCTCATATAATATATATATATATGACTAAGTTTAACTTTACAAGCATAAAATGAATTACATCTATTCTTAATTATTTTAGAATAATGCGGAATAAAGAAGTATCGTAAGTGTTCCACAAAACGATTGAATTATAAATAATACTCAACCTTTTGAAAACATACAGTTACTTTAGCTTTTTTTAAAATATATACTAAGTTCAAAATAATTTTTTTATTAATTCTTTTTTTAAAATTAACAACATGATGAAATTTATTTAGGTAGTCGAAAAGATAGTACATCGTCGATTGATGAATCTGATATCAGTGATGAAACTGATACATCAGTATCAGATACTCCAAGCCTTCTTCTTCATAATCTTCATGCATCAATGGAATGGGAAAAAAGTAGTTATATTCCAGATAACAGATACGATATAACAAATAAAACAAAATCACCTCATTGTTTTGAAACACTTCAATCACAATATTTATCAAAATTCAATACTAGTCATCATTTATTCGAACAAAGTGAAGCATTTTTATCAAATGATCACCTATCTTTAAAACAACATACCGAATTTTTGAAAAAATCAATTAAAATTTCAGTCGCAAGAGCAGCACGTGATTCACATGCTGTAGCTCGTCGTAAAGCTCAACTCGATTAGACAACATAAACATTTTTTGAAAAAACATCAAAATACCATTTCAATTTCTTTCCTTTTTATTATTATTAAACAAGAAGAAAAAAAAAGAAGAGGAAGGGAATTCAAGACTTCTCTCGATTCAAATGTGTGTGTTTTATTTGTATTTTTTGTTTAAAAAAGAAAACGAAAAGAAGATGAAGGGATCAACGTAATATACAAAAACGTACACTCATTCAACTCTCGACCGAGAAGCAACAGTAATAGTAGCAATACAGAGTATTCAAAAAAAAAAAAAGAAATAATAATAATGAAATATACAATAATAGAATCAAGGGGGAGAAAAAAAGGATAAGTAATAGTAGAATAATGAATAGAAAAAAAAAGTCCAATATTATGTTTAGTTTATAGTTTGTTCTTAGAAACACACGCACACGACTAGGTAACAAGATGTTGTAAGATATAGAATTTTGTTTATTTTATTTTATTGTTTTTTGTTTCTTTTAAATATTTCGACTAGTAATTTCACACACGCAATGAATAATTTTGTTTGTCTCAGATCATAATACAACCACCTTTACGTTTCTTCTTTCGTGCTAATGCAGCTCGTGCTGCATGTTCAAATACTTCACGTACACCTTCTTTTGTCTTAGCTGAACATTCAAGATAACCTACGGCACCAATCTTTTCAGCCATATTACGTCCTTCTTCACTGCGTACAGGTTCTTGTTTCATTTTCATTAATTCCTTTTTTGTTGCTTCATCATTGCGTAAATCTTTTTTATTTCCAACAAGTACAATTGGAACATTTGGACAAAAATGTTTTACTTCCGGCGTCCATTTCTATAGATCAGAAGAAAAAACTAGATGTTTAGAAAAATACAAAGGACATTATTTTTACCTCGGGAATGTTCTCAAGACTGTCCGGGCTATCAATAGCAAAGCACATGAGTATAACATCTGTATCCGGATAAGATAATGGACGTAAACGATCATAATCTTCTTGTCCAGCTGTATCCCATAACGCTAATTCAACCTGTTTACCATCAACTTCAATATCAGAAACATAGTTTTCAAATACAGTTGGAACATAAACTTCAGGAAATTGATCTTTACTGAATACAATTAACAAACAGGTTTTACCTAGAAAATAAAACATAAATACTTCTAGAAGAAAAATTGTTTTCTATTATGTAACTTACCACAAGCTCCATCACCAACAATGACAAGTTTTTTCCGTAAAGCAGCCATTTTGAACTTAGATCTTATCTAAAATAAAAATGAATAGGTACACGTTGGACTTTTTTGTGTCCATATGCGTATGTATATGTTAGAAGAAGAAAACAAAAACAACAGAGCATAAAAAATGAGAACTGTACAAATACCATTACGACATTGTTTTGATCTTTCACATGATGTTTGATTATGATTCATTGTTTTAAGCTTTTCCATAATGAATTCATATTAATATAAAAAAACGAAGGAAAAATAAATTTTGACAAACATTCATTGTTTTAAATTAGAATTTCTATAAAATAAAAAACAACAGATGTCGCTATCTTTCGAAGGCATGATCATTCTGTAATATTCGAGTTCCATAAATATTAATAAACAATAGCTTATTGATCAGAATAATACGTATTTAATAGATGCATTAATATCTCAAAACAAAGGAAAAAGAAAATGATCCCATCTCATGAATAATAATGTTCATCATTTATTCTTGCGTAGTTTAGTTTTTTTGTATATAAGTGTCGAAGAAGATAACATCTGACACAGATTATTATTATGTCTGTATAGACAAACACTGTTAGTGGTCTGTAAGCTTTGTTGTCAATTATAATCGTATCACATGCAATAAGCTGAACTTCTCATTTTATGTCTATGTGAATAATAAGCTAATAGTATTAAATATGTCAATATGTGCGTCATATCTACGTCCACAATCAAATGTCAGATGAGAAATAATAACTTGGGTGATTGGTTGCAAAGGAAGCAACAGATCATCATTGGCATATATAAAGCGAGGTTAGTGAATCAAACAGAGAAGAGAAAAAAAGCGGAAGCCGGAAATTAGCTTCGATCCTTTGAATTAGTCCCATCGATCATCAGCATTGTGTTCGATACTCTCGAAAAAAAAATCATCACATCAGCACCTTTCTCTACTCATTGATAAAAGTGCCCACGGCATGTATAGATATATGTATATATACGTCATTTTGGTATTCTATCATCATCTTAATGGATAGCAAGAGAGAAAGATTTGATGATAGACACGTTTTTCTCTACTATCTATATGTCTAGTATGCCATAGAAGACAGAAAGTTCTTCTATCTACCCATCTTCTTTCGTCTAGCATACATTGTCATGTATATCTGATCTTTCTTGTACATCTATATGAAAGACACTATTGAAAGAAAAGGAAAGAGACAAGTATGAAGATATACGAGACTATTACTGCTAGTGGCAGCTTGCATATCAAGGACAAAAAAATCCTTTCCAGTAGTGTTAATGAGATTGATTGACACATTACGTGTTAAGAGTAAAACTGACGTGTGCATCAATCTGACACTTGTCATGTTCATCTTTCATCGCGTATGTTGCAGGATAGCACTGCTGATATAATAATATCTTGACGCAGGTAGGTGATAAGAAGTATATAAAATGTCTTACAATAACAAACATTCTGACGTCTTATTCATAGACTAAATTTAGTTATGGCCTATTACATATTTATAGACTCAATAAAAAAATCTTCCCGCTGTTTTCTTTTTTCTCTATTGATTTAATAGTTTCTTTTTTCTTTTCTTCTTGAATGTTGAATGTATTTTATTAAATGTAAATCGACTGAAGTGCCATGCCTCTTGAAACATAATGTACATCTCATATTTATCAATGAAGACATAACAAAAACCTATCCATCCTAATAGTATACATTCTTAAGAGAACTCCATTCGTCTTCATTCGATATTGTCAGCAGACCGAATGTGTGAAAATGATCATCATTTATTCTTTGCATTCGTTGTCAAGTAGAAAATTATAATAAATGATAGAAGAAAAGAATGTCTAATAATAGCAGTCAGTGATAAATGCTTTAGTTAAAGATTATTCATTGATTTGTTTGTTTTTTTTTTCTTTTAGACGAAATCATTATAATGTTATTTTGGTTTTTATTTACTTTACATCTAACGATAAGTCAAGATATAATACCTCCATATGTATTTTCTGATTGTAAACATTTAATATTGCCTGTTCGTTGTCAATGTTATCATTCAGGGCATGAATCTCAATTACGGTGTCTTAAAAGCGAACTTCATTCATTACCTAAATTACCAAATAATATGCGCTGGAATGCACTCGATTTTTCATTTAATTATATAACATCTGTTGATAATTATGTATTTGCTGATATATATGTTGAAAAAATTAATTTAAATTCAAATTATATTCGTCGAATTGAAATAACAGCATTTGATCAAATTAAAAATTTAAAACAATTATTTATTAATAATAATCAATTAAAAGAACTTTATCCTGAAACATTAGTATCACCGGGTGTCAGTTTGCGTATGTCTTTTTGTTTTTCTTGTCATGTTTATGTATTATACATTATAAAAAAAAAAACTCTTTTTCTATTTTTAATAGAAATATTTGATGTATCTCATAATCAATTTCAATATTTGGATATGGGTCAAATTCTTCTTAATTTGCCATTACTAAAACAATTTCATCTTGTATCATGTCATTTAAATGATACAAGTATTTATACATTATTAAAATTAACTCAAAATACAACTGATGAATATAATCAGACAATGGTAGGACGTGGTCATTATTATTTAGAAATTCTTGATTTAAGTTATAATAATTTAACAACAATATGTTATCATTTATTTGATGGTTTATATAATCTTATTGAACTTCATCTAGAACATAATTCAATACGTTTAATTGATAATAATTTTCTTCGTTCATTGTTACAGATAAAAATTTTAAATTTAGCACATAATTCATTACAACATGTACCTAAATTCTCTAGTCGTTCATTAGAAACTTTAAATTTTTCATCAAATCATATTCATTATCTCAGTGATTATTTTGCATCAAACCTTCATGGAATACGTTTAATTGATTTCGATTATAATCATTATTTAAATAATACATCAATACGTGCATTTTGTTTTTTATATATATTTTCATTAGAAAAATTAACATTTCGCTCAAATAATCTTATATCATTAAATACATTCAGTGAATTATTATGTCGTTTAAGTAATACAACAACAAATAAAATAAATCTTATTGATATTAATAATAATATTAATTTAAAATGTAATTGTACTTTAGTAAAATTTCAAAAATATTTAAATAATTATAACGATTTAACATGTACACAACAAGGACAAGATCGATATTATATATCAACATTAACAAATTGGTTTTCCGATTGTTCATATGATATTTGTTTAGATGAACAACAACATACAAAATTAAACTTTTGTAATTGGGCAGATGCTGAACGTGCCACATACGAAGGAACATGTGAAGCAAAAATGAAAGCAAGTGATAAGAGAAAAAAGATGAAATCACAATTAACATTAACAGAAACAACATTAATTAATTCACAATGGTTAGAAAATACTACGGAAACTAGAAATTTAACGACTATAGAGAATACAACAATAACTCCACTAGAAAAAAATTCAATATCAAATTCAATATCAATGAAAACAAACATCTATTTAATATTAATTATTTTATTTGTTTTCTTGTTATTATAGAAAAATATAGATTAGTTTATATATGGTTCTTGTAAAAGTTTTCGTTGTTGTTGTATATTTGACATTCCATAGCTTTTAACAGCATTTATCAATAAGAAATAAACAGTTGAAAGAGTTTGCAATTTTTAAAAGAAAATTACTACTATCTATTAGAATAGTTTTTAATGACTAATGTAAAACTATTATTTCATAGAAATAAATACTTCTTTAATATTATTTAGATAAACAAAATAGACTATTTTG